ATGGATGTCCAAGACCCAGTCTGAAGCAATTGGCTCAAAATAGATTGAAGTGAAACCAAGAAACCAGTATGTTCAAAAGCTTTGGGGTGCCTGGGTGGCTCAGTGGGTTAAGCGTCTGCCTTCGGCTCAGGTCATGATCTCTCAGGGTCCTGGGATCAAGCCCCGTGTCAGCGTGGGGCTCCCTGCTCAGCAGGGAGTCAGCTTTTCTGGCTGCCCCTTCCCCCACCCCCGCTTGTGCTCTCTCTCTCAAATAAATAAATAAAACCTTAAAAAAAATGTGAAAGCTTCCTCAGGTGATTCTAGTAAGCCACCAAAATTAAGAATTACTGGCTAAGATGAGCAGAAAGCTAAAATTAAGTTGTTTTTCACCTTATGTTCAAATTTTCTCATTATCTTGTGATAATGATATCTTCGTGCTAACATCCCTTAACTGATAACTTCATTTCCTCACAGACGGTTTCTTTTGTCTCCATTATCCCCGTACCTGGGTTCTCACTTTTCCCTAGCGCTTGGATTAAATCTGGGGTCTAACAAAAACAACCACATTTTACAATGGAAAAAATCAAAACCCAGGACATCATCAGTGGGACAATTTGAAGGTTTAAGGATCTTCGGAACAATGACTATTCAGAGGTCTCCTTAGAGAATGAATGCCTGTGGATGACATTACCAAACACAAGAATCACGGGGGAAAGAAAAATGCTCTTGCCATGCTGTGTCACATCTCTTTTCAAAGGCAAACATCTCAGATGCTGGGGTATCTTTACTCATTCTAAAGAAAAGGTGGACAGCCTCAGACTGTGCCAGGACTTACTTACCCCATCACCTCCGCTCTTCAGTCACTGCAACCGAAAGAGTAATTTTCTGCCTGGTGAGCTGCTGTGGCTTGAAAATTTAAGTATAAATAACAAGTGTCAGAAAGTCTTTAATCAGCAAATTAGCATTTCAAAAGATCAAAGATAATAGACCTTGAAGTCTCTCTCTGCTCTATAGAGCTGTCACCAGGCTAATAGTTTAGATACTCCTGTCTCCTTCCTTTCTGTCTCTTCATAGCTGTCCTGTGGCTCAGAGTGTGGCACCCCCCCTCCCCCCCTGCCAGTTTAAGGAATGTGCTGCTCGTTCCTTTTCCCTTTGTGGTTTTTCTATGAATGTCTTTTTCTATTTTCTGTTCTTGCCCAGTTGTCCTTCCTCCTGTACCTTTCATGACACAAATATTTATTAAGTGTCTACTTTGTTTTAGGCTCTGTGCTAAATTCTGGATATTTAACAAAAAATAAAACAGATATGAGCCTTGCCCACGTATGTATATATCATGTTTGCATTTTCCCTTTCCTTCAGTCTGTCTACTTTTTCTTCCTATTTTGTTAAAAAGAAAACCCCAGGCTCAAAATGGCATCCGGTTAAGGCCCCAAGTCAGTAAACCAAGACTTAATACCTAACTTCACTGCAGTTCCAACCCCCCAGAAATGTAACCTTTAACTAGCCAACATGGGAAGTTCCTGGTCAGCACGAGGAAATGTACTGATAGTTCCCTTCTGTTTCCCTTAGGAGGGCCACCTTGCCTACAACAATGGAATCTTTGCTAATAATTTCCTTTTTTTTAACTCCCTCTCTACCTTCAGAAACCTTTCCTTTTCTGTAGTCCTGGAAGCTGCCCTCTACTTTCTAAAAAGGATGCTGCCTGATTCATGAATCAATTAATTAAGCCAATTAGATCTTTAAAATTTACTCAGTTGAACTTTTGTTATTTAACTTCTTACATCTACATTAACTGGCTATAATGTGGCATTAAATTCTTTAGAAATGCAATTTATGTGTATTGAATCTAATCTCCTCCCTTTCACTGTGCCATGTTTTAATGCTTTTTTTCCTTCAAAAATTAAAATAGTCACTGAAGCTAACTGAGCAGAGTCTGGGATCTTGTCTGGTATTCAAGCACATTAATAATTCTCAGTAAAATGTGTTAAAATTATTCACAGCAAGTGGAATAAATAAAAGACTACACTTAGTCTCATGTCATTTTAGGTTGTTTTGCTACAGAAAGAATCTCTGCACCAGACTTATAACAACTTTACAATTTTCAGAGCTTTTTAAATTTTTAGAATAAGAATAAAGGACTTTGGATTTGCCCAGCACATGCCTGCCCGTAGTAGACATTCCTAGAAATATGTGTGGAATGAAATTTCAACTACTTTATTTTCTTGGACACTAAAATAAAATATGTACATCACGTAAAGATAAATATAGTTAAAAATAAGAGGCTTGATTCTCTCTGTTGAAAATAAGAGATTTTCCTCCCTTTCTTTTTCCAGAAAAGTTGTAATTGGAAGTACTTCTCCTCTCTTTGAAATGCATAGAAATTCTTTTGAAGACTAGATTGGCACTTAGTCAGTGGTATGACAGAGAATGTGTTTTTCAAGGACCTGGGAGTCATCTCTTTGAAATGTGAACATCAAGGGAGATAGGGCCCCTCTCAGGTTCCATGGGATGATGGTAGCCTAACTTAGGTGGGCACCTTGCTCCAAGTTGCAAAACTACTTTCTGTCATAAAGATATATGTTTTTCTTCTTGATAAAGCCTATTAGCTAACATAGATGGTCCTCCCATTACCAGGTAAAGTTAGGATGAACTATGTGTGACAGATGGTGCGGTCACATCTTCTTAGTTGAGGACTAGGTATTATTTTTCTTGCAAATATGCATATGATGGGTTGTGTCTGCTTAGCTCCATAAAGGCATCTGAGTCCTTTCTGTTCTTGCGGTCACTTAGAGGGTTGCCTATGACGTGTTTCACATCCTGGTTTAATGTTTATTCAGTGACAACAACAAAAAAGATGTTTCTCTACTACCTTTGTGGAGAGGATTTCTGGGTTGAAAGAGGATTTTGTTTTTAATTCTATTTCCCCAACAATTTATACCATGATATAGTAGCCACATTTTAAAGATAATGTTCAGGGGCACCTGGGTGGCTCAGTTGGTTAAGCTTCTGACTCTTGATACCAACTCTGGTCTTAATCTCAGGGTTTGAGTTCAAGCCCTGTATTGGGCTACAGTGCTGGATGTGGAGCGTACTTAAAAAATAAAGAGAATGTTCAGCCAATTTTAACTCCTTCCTAACAAACTGTTTGTTTGTTAATGATAAATTTCAATTAATGGTAAAGTAACTCCTTGCATGAAATAAGGGCAGTTGATAGGTGCCACTTGTAAAAGTCATATGTGTACCTCTTAAATATTGCTGCATAAGTCAGAGACTGCTGGGATGGAGTGGGTAAGGAATGATATTTGAGTAAAATGAAAGAAAAGATAAGGAAATTTTCTGAAGTCAGGAACAAAAGGTAAAGAGAGAAAAGGAAAGGATCAGGGCTGAGCTTGTCTGAGAGGTTATTTAATGAGTGTGATGGTTAATTTTATGTGTCAACTTGACTGGACTATGGGAGGCCCAGAGGGCTGGCAAAACCCTATTTCCTGGTGTGTCCCCAAGTGTGTTTTCAGAGATTAGCATTTGAATTGGTAGACAGAGTAAAGATCTACCTCACGAAGGCGGGTGGGGGTCATCCAATTGTTTGAATGCCTAAATAGATCCAAAAGGCAGAGGAAGGTCAAATTCACTCCTTTTGCTGGAGGTCGGACATCCATCTTCTCTGGAACCTTGCACATCAGCACTTTTAGTTCTCCAGTTTTCAGACTCGGACCTAGATTTAAACCATTGGCCCCTCTCTGATTTTGGGGTCTTTGGACTCAGACATACCATTGGCTCCCTTGGTTCTCAGGCCTTGAGACTCAAACTGAATTATACAAGGGCTCTTACTGCTTTTCCAGCATCAGACAGCAAATAATGGGACTTTTTGGTCTCCATAATTGTATAAGCCAATTCCTATAAGTAAATCTCCTTCTCTCTCCCTCTCTATGCTATTGGTTCTTTTTTTTTTTTCTGGACAACTCTGACAAATACAACAAGCCTCATTACAATGTTCCTGTAGAGTTATCAATTTTAATTCAGTTAAGATCACAAACACATGTGTTCTCATGTAAACTTCGTTTTATCCAGGCCTTTGAATGAAGTTTAATTGGTCACCTCACTGCATATATTTGAACTTGCTGTAACTATTGTAGACCTGCAGGTATTTTCTGAATTTAAAATTCAGAAATATCTTTGGTTGCGCAGAGAATACTTGACTCAATGGCCTTATGAAGACTTATGCAAGCTCCTGTGTCTGCAAGTTCAGAGGAAGTACAGGGCTTCAGGATTGACTAAATCCAGTGACTCAGGCTATATTTCTTTGTTATTCTATTGGTTGTGATTTCTTTGTGTTACCATCATCCTCAGGTTTATCACGGCATGTTTGCTTTACATCTGCCTACTATGAAAGGAAACTTTTGCCCAACTACTTCAAGCAAGACTACTGAGATTCTCCTTAATCAGACCATTTTTTTTCACATGTCTACATCTGAATCAGAGCTGCTGGCCAAGGGAAGGCTATTAAACCACCAAAAACTCATCCTTGTAGATAGAGTGAGATTACCTTCCTCTGTGTTACATGTGCTGCTTGGGAAATTAGTGTATACTTTTATCAAGGGAGAAGGTAGTTGGAGTAAATGGATACTGGGGAGGTACGCAACCCATAATGCATAGTATAGGCCAACACATGTCTGTTACATAAAATTGTACAATGTGCAATCTACCAAGGAACCCAGGAGTTTGCCATACTAGATTCTATAAGGTTGTTTTAAAAGAGATTTTATTTATTTTTGAGAGAGAGGGAGAGCATGAGTGGGGGTGGGGAGGGGGAGAGGGAGACACAGACTCCCTGCTCAGCAGGGAACCTGATGTGGGACTTGATCCCAGGATCCTGGGATCATGACCTGGGCTGAAGGCAGATGTTCAACTGACCCAGAGCCACCCAGGCGCCCATGTTGTCCTAGATTCTAGAGAAGACTCAGGGTATGCCTGCTTTGTGTATCTTCTCATAGCAGTATTATCATACTTGCAATGAGTCATTACCATGTGACATGCCTGTGGGTGACAGGCACAGTGCTGACTACATTTGGTTTTCTGGGCAACTTCATGGTCCCTTGCAGTAGTTACTTTAGAAGATGATCTATAAGAAGTGGCTGGGGCATTTAAGACGGGGGTAAGTTTGCCATGCTCCCTCTTCCTGTGCTATGAGAACCTTAGAAGCCTCCATATTGGGATACTCACATCACTAGAGGATAGAGCCTCCATGAACCCCAATCAGGTTACAGTACAGAGCAGAAGGCTCTTCTGTCTCTAATGGGACAGCCTGAGCAAGAAATAAACTTTGGTTTCATTAATCCATGAGATATCCAGGTTAATGTTATCACATTATAACCTAGCCTATCCTGATTAGATATTATGTCATTATTACATCATACGTGGGATTATCTGAGTACTATTATAACTTTCAAGTGTTTTTATCTCCTATTTATCATGCAATATTTATATTGGTGGATGTCAACTGCTGGTTTATTGAAACATTTTCTCTTTATGGTCCAATCTTTGTCGCTTTTAGAGCTATAAATTAATATATAAAACATCCTTTCCTTACCCAGCCTTGCCACTGGGTCTATAGTTTAACAACAGAAGTATGTTATTTTTATGACTAAAATTAAGTTTTTAAGTCTGAGTTTCATGGTTAAGGATTCAGTAACTACTATAAGAGTCCACTTAAGAGCACAAATGAGTTACACTGAAAATACTGCTTTGTTGCTCCTAAGTTGAGAATATATAACAAGGTTTTATATTCACATACTGCTTTCACGTTTTTAGATTTTTTTCTTTGTTTTATCTCGTTTTCTCTTCACTGTGATTTAATGAGGTATTACAAGAAGAGTATAATTGCAGGTTATAGATGAGTAAACTGAGGGTCAGGCTTAACCAAGGTCTAATCCGTGGCTAAAACAAGATTTATAGACTCCCAAATCAGTGGTATTTATATCATGCCACATGTCAAAACCACTTCTCTAAATATAATAGTCGTATTTCTTATGATTTTCTAAAAAAATGAGGCAATAATTAGACTTACTTTTAGCAGCATAAACTTATTTACTGCATTTTGCCTTAAGATAATTGGTTAGAACTGGAAGTTTACTTTATGCTTGCTAAGAAACACAAGAATGATTGAAAACTCTCTTATTTGTGCTGTTTTGTAAGTAAACTCCAAATCTAAAACTATGTATGTCTAGAAATTAGCATTGGAATGTTTTATTATACAAATGTTAATTATGAAAAGCATTTATTTTCCGACTGAAAACATAAGTTTACAATAAACATACTTTAGGACCTGGCAGCGTAGTTAGCATTATGTATTAGATATTGTGGGTGGGGGGGACAAACCCACCCTCAGGCCCCATGAGTCACTAGACAGATTCAGAAAGGCTGTTATATGCATGGTTGTGGTTTCTTACAGTGACAAGATACAGACTGAAATCAGCAAAGGAAAAAGGTACATGGGGAGAGGGCCAGGACTAATCAGGTACAAGTTTTCAAGAGTTCCCTCCCAGGGTTGTCTCACAGGGACACACTTAATTCTCCCAACAATGATGTGTGACAACACATGCCAAGTGTTGCCAACCCGGAAGCTCACCTAAGCCTCCATGTCCAGGGTTTTTATTGGGGTTCAGTCACATAGATGAGCAGTCCAGTGTGACTGACCACAACTCAGACTCCAGTCCCTCCCCTGTCCCCATCTCCTGCCAGAACAAAACAGGCATTTACTATAAAAACAACATAGCCCATGGCCTCAGACATACAAACACACTTAGGTAAGCTATTCTAAAGGCTCAGACCATCTCTGAGAAACTGGTCCAGGGCAGTCCTCAAGACTGGCTTTTCTTTGGAATGCAGGGTTTGAGTGACTCAGGCCTGCACAAAATAATGAATCCTTTTGTCCCTAGATATAGATTGGGACCTGGAATTAGAACAAAGCAACTCTACTGTGTGCCCAATAACGAATCCCTTACAATCCCTAAAACCTCAACTTTGTGATCCTTAAAATGGAGTAAATAACATAAAATATTATAATGATCTCATTGGAGTATCATAAAAAACAAGTGAAGGAATAGGTAAAAATAAGTTTTATAACTTATACTTTATTCGGGTGATTATGGAAAGTAGGGGCTAGAAATCTTGTAATAAACACGTGATAGTGTCAATGTTTTGTGCATTTGTTTATTCATTCCATATGCATGAACCGAATGCCTAGAATTTGCTGAGACTAGGAGAGAACAAAATGTTAAGCTTTACTAATATGCTTCTTTCTCTCACAAAATTTATGATATATTAATAAAGCATAGGGAGATAGGTGAAAAGACCTGGGAACATTGTGATAAAGACGGCAATGGGGCTGGTAGATGGGGGTTGCTTCGATGAATAATGTGACCAGGTTAGTGGTGTCCAGCAATTATTCCAATTATTCGATTCATCTAGTCAAGGGACAGTGAGCAGAAGGTGCATGGATCCCTTCTGACTGGAGACTTTAACGGCAGGTGTATGTTCTCCAGGCTCTTGGGTCACTGCATGGAAGACAGCTGTTCTGACTTCGAATTTTGCATGTGTGAGCAGGCTAAAGTCTGAAGCGAGGAGGCTAGTTTTAGACGCTAGCATGGCAAACCTTAGGAAAGCTATCCTGAATGGATAGAGAGGCCGGGGATGAAGGGTGGGGGTGGGGTGGAGAAGAATATAAATAAACCTTTTCGCAGGCTTTGGGAGGGATTCTAGCAATGTGTTCAAATAGTTCAATGTTTTTGTGAAATTTGCGAACATACGATATTTTAACCCTAATCAGCTGACTCTCTCTACGCCAACTTCCCTCTCTGTTAATCTGCTCCTTCTTGTTGAATGGTTTTGTAGAAGCTGTCAGCATATTTGGATTGAGTTAGGGGAAGTGGAGTTGGGGATATATTTAGTTTGGGTTTAGTGTGAATAGTTTTGTAGCCTGCAGCCACTTCCATATGTAGTTAGTTATTCCATATATATTTCATATATAGTTTAGCCAGTCCTGTGTAGGAATGGCTTCCAGGAAAATTCATATTGAGACGGTGTCACCTCACCCCATGAAACATGAAGGTGCAGTGCCAGAAGTCATAGTGTCTTACGGATTTATCCTATAGAACCCAGCACAAAAAGAATATGAAAAACAAAGCTTGTGATGTATGGGGCCAGAAGTCTGTAGAAAATTTTTTCAATCATCAGATATGTAAAATTGTAAATGGAAGATTTTGTCTCAGCCACACCTCATCAAAATGGAAGTTTTCTCCTATCAGAGAGAATTACATAAAACTCCTGATATTTCACTACACATGGATATCAATGCAAACTTATTGAGTGTTGTCAATTCAAGAGTATTTAAGATCATGGAATGCCTTGAAATGAAAGAAAGTTGTTAGGGGGTAGCAGCTAGCATCAAAGATAGTCCCCAGTGCCTGGTGGGGGCTGTGACCTTGTATAAGGGCTAAGTCTCCTCCCCTGAAATCGGGGTTGGCCATAGCAGGGTTTTGACCAATAAAGTATGGTAGATCTGATGGAGGTGACTTCTGAAGCTACGTTCTAAGAAGTCTTGCAGCTTCTGCCTGGATCTCTTGGAAAGCGTACTCCAGGAGCAGCAATACGTTGTGTAAGAAGTCCAATTACCCTGAGATTGCCATGTGAGGAAGCTCATGCTAGTCAGGTGAAGAGCCTGCATGCCCCACCTGCTTCCGCCATCCCAGCTGAGGCTCCAGACATGTGGTGAGGAAGTCATCTTGTATGTTTGGCCGGTCTGAGCCTTCAGATCACTCTTAACATTTGCCTCCAACTGGTAGCAGCAGGATGAGAAATCTCAAGTGAGAAATGCCAAGCTGAGTACACTGTGGTATAATTAAAGACAGCCACAAAATCTTTGCCACACTCCTATCAAGAGTTTGGGTCTATTTCCCTCTTCCCTTGAATTTGGCCTGGCCTATGACAGCTCTGCCCAGTAAGTCCAGTGGAGGTGATACTGTGCCAGTTCTGAGTCCCATCTTTAAGAGGATTGTTAGTGTTCATCTTGCTCTTAGAGCACTGAGCCACTATATGGTAAATTCACAGAGACCGCATGGAGAGGCCCTGAAATGACATGGAGAAAGGATGTCCCAGGTGAACTCCAGCCTGTAAGGATGGACCCTCCAGACCAGCCTGGCTGCTACCTGAATATCGCCAAATGGCCCTGTCAATACCATATGGAGCAGAAGAATTGGCCAGCCAAGCCCTGCTCAAATACTTGACCTATAAAATTGTGAGATATAATAAAATGGTTATTGTTTTAAGCTATTAAATTTGGGGGTAATGCGTTCTGTAGAAGTAGATAATGATGAGAGGTTTTCCACAAATTTATATAGCATTACCAATAATGAATTGTGACTGTAAGTTGTAAAGCAGAAAATGCTTATCTAAATTATTCATAATAAAAATAAACTTCAATCAACCATGCTGGAGGAAGATTGAATTACGCTTCTATCCTTTTTGTTGAAAATGCTACAAAACGGTTGTCATATAAAGAAGAGAGTAAGTAGACAAAATATAGGGAAAATGTATTATAGAGTTGTATAAGGTGGTTAATAAAACAATATTTTTTTGGCATTTTGTGAGGTTTGTAGTACTTATCATTTATTTTAAAAATTTAGAATTTGTTTTCTTTTTCCATTTTAGACAATTATTTTTTTTATACCTAAGTTCATTTTTTTTTTTTTTTGGTACTTTGGTATTCTTTTTCTTAATGAGTTCCTCCAAGTTTTCAGAAAACTGAGGTCAAAGGGAAGATTTTACAAGCTTCCAAAGAGAAAAAAAAATACAAATTATCATAAGCAAATTATCAGGAGGGGCGTCTGGGTGGCTCAGCCGACTGAGTGTCTGGCTCTTGATTGATTTCAGCTCAGGTCATGATCTCAGCGTTGTGGGATCAAGCCCCGTTCAGGCTCCATGTTCAGAGTGAAGTCTGCTTGAGATTCTCTCCTTTTGCTCCTCCCCATGCTTGCACTCTCTTTCTCTCTTTCTCTCTCTCTCAAATAAGTCAATAAAAAAAAATCTTCAAAGTATCAGGAATCAGAAAGACTGTGGACTTTTCAAAAGCACTGCAAGGTAAATTTATTAGAGAAAGACCTTCAAACTTACAAGGAGAAACAATTTCCAACCTGGAAGTCAGTATACTAGGAGCTATTAATAAAATGACAAAGAAGAATGAAAATATTTTCTGACCAGTGTATAGTCTCAGAAAATTTACCATGCTCCCTATTTCAGGAAAGTTTTAAACAACGTGTGCCAGTATATTTAAACTTGTGTAAACAGGATATGACCTAACTCTGGCACACTTTTAATTCCCAAAACTAGGTCTCTTTGCCCTAAATTGTACCTGGTAGACTTTGCCAAAAATATCATGAAGACACAGTTGGCACTTTATGGCAATAACTGCTAATATACAAAACCCTCTGATGTGAAAAGACAAGGGTCAATTTATCAGCTCCATTCCCTAAAAAACAGTTACCGTGCAAGTGAAAAATTTGTGCTAGAAACCAATTTTGAAAAATACACATGGTTTTACTATTTTTTTTCTGGAATAACAAGAACATTGTTTATATAATAAAAAATCTGAGATTACTTCAGGTTGTAAATTTTTCTCCCCTCCTCCACTATTTCACAGTGTAATCACAAAGGGATCCTCTAGGACCATTACTCACACCCCAGGAGTGCCCCTTTACCATTTTCCAATCACTCTTTCCACACATACCTCCTCAAATTCTTGATTCTCCTGACATTTATGGTTCTCAATCCCTTGCTTTTATTTCTAGTTTGACTCTTTGGCACTCATCTCTAAATATTGCATTAGAATTGGTGTTTTTGAGCTTTATATAAAAGGAATCATACAATATACAGTCTTGTATTTCTACTTTCTTTTAACCCCGTGTTTGTAAGACGTATGCTGTATTTTGTTCACTTTCAGTTTGAAGATAGATTTCCATTATGTGATTGTAGCATGATTTCATTATCCATTTCCAGTATTGATGGATATCTGAGTGTTTCCAGCTTGAACGATTTCCACTGTACCAGGAGCTGCATTATACTATATCAGTCTTACTTTTAGAACTCATAAGCTGTTTATAGATAAGAGGCAAAAAGATACTTTTTAAAAAAATTTAACATTTGTTCACCCTTATAAATGTCCGGTTTCCTTCTATTTTCCTCAAACATAATGACAGCTTATTGAAATAAATTCAGTTGACCCCTTTAATTGCATCTTTTCCTATTCATTTTTACCTATTGTTCTCTGATATATGTGTATTAACTAAGACAGTATTATTAGCTTTCAGATATAAAAATTATGCATTTACTGAAGTAGCCTTTGGACTAAATAAATACAATACATGCGGATTTACAATACTCAAAATGGAAACAGATTCAGGCCTTAGAATCAATACAGTAGATTTCCAGAAAGTTCTTTCAGGTGTGATGGAACCTTAAAAATATCAGTTCATTTCAAATTGTACTCTCATTGGTACATCACTAACATAGCCCATGAAAAAAAAATTTGGAAGGGAGGATGTGGAGAAAACAGAGGCAAAGAGTAAGCGGATTATCCCCTCCTGAAAGCTGATTGTACCCCCTCATTAGAGGCAGCTGATCAATGGCCTGGTTGGATTTGTCTGGCCGTCAAGCTGGATTTGCCAATTAGGCCCTGGAATTGTATGTAATGCTACCATAGCTGAATATGCCACTAAAAATAGTCGCAGAAATTCAGAATTGAGATTTTAATGCCATAGCATATGACAAGATGGTCCTATATATGCATACTTTTAGTCCCGTTGACATCAAATGGAAGGAAGAAAAGAAGTTGGTAAAAGCCAAAAAAAAAAAAAAACCTTCAAGTTTAATTTGTGGTCAGAAGAAAAAATTTTCTGTAAATGAATTGTTATTTGAAATCCTTTGACATTAATAGTGAAACATCCTGCATAGCAAAAGGGAATCAATATTATTGTAGGATGGAAGAATATGTTGTATTCAATTGCTAAGGTCTGGCATAACATCAAAAAGGGTAACACAGGGAAAATAGCAGAAGAGATAGACTTGGAACAAGAGGAGCAGCTATTGATCAGCTTCTTTGTCTTATTCTTGGCCAAGTAACTCCCTTGTTATGCTTCACTGAATCCAAAAGATTACAAATCATTTCAAAGGAAAGATTCTGCAGTTCTTTCCTTTATTTGTCCTGCAGACAGAAGAATATCAGAGGAATAATGGATGAAAAAAAATGTGTAATAAAATATCTATTGGTCATTAAAAATCATTTACCTGGATCAATTTTAGTTAAAACCATTGACAGACATTTTAAAAATTGGCATTTGATATATTTAATAATATTTCAGGAAACATACAGGGGTTTAGCATAGCAAGGTGTACTGTAGTTGAAGTGATTTTAATTTGCTATATCACAGATATTTTATGTGACTATAAAATGTGCATGAACAATTTCATGTTTATCTAATTTCACGTTTGTATATCTGAGAAGCCCAGGAAGTCTTTTGGTAGAGCAGTTAACAATGCTGTACAAAAGCTTAGGAGTCATTTTGCTTAAGATTTATTGAACACAGGGCGCCGGGGTGGCTCAGTCGGTTAAGCAGCTGCCTTCGGTTCAGGTCATGATCTCAGGGTCCTGGAATTGAGCCCCGCATCGGGCTCCCTGCTCCGCAGGGAGCCTGCTTCACCCTCTCCCTCTGCCTGCAGTTCCCCTTGCTTGTGCTCACTTCCCCTCTCTTTTTGTCAAATAAATAAATAAATAAATCTTAAAAAAAATTTATTGAACACAATGAAGTCCTTGTATTGAATTATTAAAAAAAATGTTGACCTTAAACTTGAATGGCAAAAAAATAATAAAAAATTAAGACAATGTCAAGCTCAATCTAAACCATGAAGAGTTTTTATTAAAATTTTTTAACAGCCTTTTTTTTTTTTTTTTTTGGTAAACTCTACACCCAGCATGGGGCTCGAACTCATGACCCCAAGATCAAGAGTCACATGCTCTACTGACAGAGCCAGCCAGGCACCCTCATGAAGAGTTTTTAAATGTTTGTTAAAACCTGAAATGGATTACCCAGAGGAAGTTAGAGAATTTCCTTCCCTGATAAATGATGAGGACTGAAAAATTGAAAGATGGTTTGAAATGTGACTACAGAAATATTTTTAGGGCATAAGGGGAAAATGTATTTAGAATTATTTTTCAAGAAAATGCACATCTCAGATCTATTGTGGACAGCATAATTGAAGCTAGTCTCAATGTTATACTTTGATATCCATCATTGCATTTATGCTGATGTTTCCAGCCAATGACTGAGTATGGTAGGGATACTGAGGCAGCTACATTCCAGGGGAATGTGCTAGATTTTTTGGACATCTGACCTTGGCTCAATGACACTCTTCTGGCCTTGCCAAATCTTAAAACTTCCTTGAAGTCTAACATCTTTCTCTCTCCCTCCTCCTTCGTCTTTCTTCTTCCCTTCTGCCTCCCTCTCTCCTTCCTCTCTCTTCTTTTCTTCCTTCTCTACTTCACAGAGGTCAGAACTCCATTATGTTCTCACAACTTCCTGTAACTCCTAGGAAAGCTCACAGATGTGTCTTCCAATAAATTTCTTGCACATCTCTTCCAGTCCTGGTGTCTGCTTCTCAGAGGAATTGGACTAATGCATAAGAATGCTGTTTCCCTGGCTCAAAAAAAAAAAAAAAATTAATTAAACAAAGGACTAGGAGGAGAAAGGAGTGTACCAATCTTCTGAATTGTTAAAAAATCATTTCATATTAAAGATTTATTTAAGGACCAAGACATTACATGTAAGACTGATTAAATTTAGTTTATCTTTGTTACTCCCATTTAAAAATTCTTAAAAACAGTTTGCTTAGGAGACCCAATTTTTAAAGAAAATAAATTTCAGTTATCCATTCTATTGATTTTATGGCCAAAGATAAATTTATCATATAAACATAAAACTTCCTCTTCCACTTAATAAAATATAGTCTCTTATCTTAGTCTCCATTGAAACTCTGAGAATTACAGTCCAATGTCCTGTTCTTTTTCTCACATAAACAAAGGTAATTTGTAGGGTGGCTCAGTCCGTTAAGCATCTGACTCTTGGTTTTGGCTCAGGTCATGATCTCATGGTCTTGAAATTGACCCCATGTTGGGCCCTATGCTGAACATGGAGCCTGCTTGATTCTCTCTCTGCCCTCCCCCCAACACTTGCACTTGCTCTCCCTCTCAAAAAAAAGGAGGGGGGACAATTTGTCAATAAAGTGG